GATAAGTTAACTTAATTTCCTTAACAGCAACCCAGGTAAGTGATCCCTAAACCCTAAATCCCTAAAAACCTAAATCCCTAAACCCTAAACCCTAAATCCCTAAACCCTAAATCCCTAAACCATGGTCCTTAATGCCAGCCCGAAGCTCATTATCCCAATCTGGGTGAAGATCGCTGCAGAGAGTGCCAGGGCAATGGCAAGGTAGTTGGCAACAATCCTCAAATGGGTTTAGGGTTTAGGGGCTTAGGGTTTAGGGGTTTAGGGTTTAGGGGTTTAGGGTTTAGGAAATGTGGAGCCGTGACTACTGGCTTCCGTTTTCTTACCCGTTATCCCTATACTACCCCAATATACTATATAGTAGTTTTCATTTTCTTTTCCATTATCCCACTATAACCCCAAAATAACCCTATACAACCCCAATAACCCCTATATAACCCTAATATAACCATCCCGGTTAAGGGGTCCGGGCGCAGACTTGGCCTACGCTGCGGCGCAAGTTGCACAACTCTGCGGATCTGATCTTGTTGCGTGGTCAGGTCCACTTTGCTGTCTTTACGCAGAACTCAGAAGTGCGGTGTGTGAGCCAAGTACCAAATGGAGTAATTTTAGGGTAGATGTTGGGATTATATGGGGATAACGGAAAAAATGGAAACGGCTATATTAAGATAGAACTCAAAAGAGCAGCGTGTGTGGATATCTGAAATTTTCATTGCGTCTTGCTTTCAAAGCAAGACGCACGGACAGAACATGTCCCTCCTGGCATTCTAGCACTACACCCCTCATGTGATTGCTCTAACTCCAAGCAACAACATAGCCGCTTTAGCGTACAGGAAATGGGCATCCTGTGAGCATCATAACCGAATTAGACGGCTGTATGAACCCCTTGCAAGTTTTCAGTATCCCCCTTCAGCCAAAATGCTCAGGGCGTACTATGTTATGGATGTGCCCCATTTGCAGCTCAAGGGCAGGGACAAATTGCTGCCAGACTGTGCAAGGCCAATGCCACTGAAGTTGTTGATACACACCTCAGGCTGAGGCTCCCACGGGGCTAGTTTACGGGGCGTTGCTGTGAAGGAGCTTACCATACTAATTACTACACATATGTATACTCATTCTGGTAACTTAATCTAAATTCTTTAACAGCAACCCAGAAGAAAGGCGGGCTGAGACTTCGTGAGCCAACGTTGAGCGTAGATCTGGTCTCAGGCAGACCATGTCTGCAGTGCCCCTATTCAACCCCACATTCATGAGGGAGCAAGCCACAAGGCATTCAAAGGCACATTGTATTTAGATAGAAATTCTTCTCTAAAGAGGTGTCTTGAAACGTCAGCACAGTATTACCTAGATTCCTACAGCTACTTATCGAACTCACCTACGGCGTATATGTTAACATTCGACTCAACCCCTACTTAGGGGCAGCCACAGTGAGCTGAGCAGCGCGTGCAGGCACAAAGGTTGCAATGACAATCTGCGCTGTCATCCTGCCGCCATGGAGACTGGGATGTGGGGCTTACAGATATGGGGGTTTCTACCTTTCTGGGGGTCCCCAATAGTATTTTGGGGTCTGTATTGGGATCCCATGTTTTACGGAAGTTACCATATTGTCACAAATGCCACGTTTGTTGTTCGGGCCTGCCTGGACACTACTTGCAGCTCCCGCGTACTCATGTGACTATTATAGTCTCCCAAGTAGATAGAATATGGGATATATGGGAATCTTATTATAATATACCCGAAGCCATATTCTATCTACTTAAGGGGGACTATAATTAGGTCTTCACCCGTGCGAGTAAGCAGACACGGAAAACCAGGCAAATACACAAGTAGACCACCTCTCACACTCGCATACCCTAAACCCTAAACCCTAAACCCTAATGAAAAGACCCATCTTTTCTTCCACATAGGAAATCACCTGCAGCCGTACATCCGTGATGCCTACAAGCTCGAAGTACCAAGAATTCACAGGGCACGTCACAGCTGAAAACAAGTCAGTTCTTCTGCCATGCGAAGGTTGATAATGGCGGGCCCGATGGAGCTCATCAGCGATTTGTCATCCACAGACGGCGGCGAGAAGAGGTTGAGGAGGGGCCTTGGATAGTCCAATGCGATTACAAACTGAATAAGGCTTTGGCTTGGGCAGCACGGGGTTGGGTTTAATTTCATTCCTGATTGCTGAGGGTGCCTCCACAAACAAGCAGACCCACCACCCTACCAACATTTGAAAGTTTCCCTAAATTACTCTTCCCAAAATGGGGGAAATTTATATAGGGCCCCATACTATAATAAGAAGCAAAATATAGGACCCCGTATTGACAGTAATTTAGGACAATCCCCATTTGCCCTTGGGCTCCTGTCGAAGGAGACCCAACGAGCCCGAACTCGGGTTTCACAGGTTCAAGAAGGGCTGGGGTGCACAACCTTTGGGGCTTAGGGTGTAGGGTTCCAACCCCACCAGGGTCCCTCCCCTGATGGTTGCCCAGAAATACTATCATCTCCTAGGTATCTCTGATCTTGCCGACCCCAAACCGTGAGCCTCGAAGCCCATGAATCTCCAAACTCTGCCCCCAAATCCAAGGCCAAAAGGCTCAGCTGTGACCATCATGACCACCATGGTCAGGAGGCCCAGAACCTCGGATTAACAACTCACCATGGGACGTTTTGGATTCCCTCTCCTTGCATGACATCGGTTACTTACTGTAAGAACCAACCTACCTCATCCACCGCCCTGTCTTGCACCCATAAGTTGCGCACACCGTTCGCGGCAGCAATGTGTGAAGGCGGCTTAAGTCGTCATGGCTCTCCTACGGGGTTTACAAACTAGTCGTTTGTGAATTCTTGTCATGTGCTCTTCTCAATGCCGTCGCAGAACAAGGGCCGACACGGAGCCGAGAACGAAGAAGGAACCTTCTTGCGGACATGGTTTCACATAGAGTTTAACGTTGAGTGGCTAGGACTAAGGATTCAGGTTTGTTGGCTTGAAATCAGGGCTAAACCCTTTAGAAACCCTTTTCCAAGCCATGCCTGCTGAGCTGTAATTCCCTGCGCCCTCCAGCTTTGCGATGGCAGATGTTTGCACATACCTGGGCGGTTACGAAAGTGAGGGGCTCAGGATTGAGGCGGATTGAGCTTTCAGGGAAAGTTTGGAGTTTAGGGTTTCAGAGCTTCGCGTCTAGGTCTAAGCTTCAAGCATTAGGAAATGCAAGGATAGCGTAGAGGGATTATGCTGAGATTCGTCGTAGGGGCCGAAATCATGAGAATATAGTCTTCCGCAAAATGCTACTGTAGCTTGCTAGGAACCAGCTAGTTTTCCTGAGATTCTACATGGTTTTCACACACCCAAAGCCCTGAACCAGAAACCGAGGCTTGAGATGTCTTGCTTTCATTTTTGGGGGGGTTCCCAAAATTAGGGGTACCTATTTTGGGGCCCCCATAATAAGGATTATAATACATTGAGGTCTATATTGGGGTCCCCCTATTTAGGAAAAGTACC